CATCTCCCTGTCCCAATTCCATTTGCACATCTTGATTGGATTTCAGCACCTATCATTAAAATTAAAATCACTTGCATTTATGAAAACTTCTTGCATTTATTCTGTTCCAAATATTAATTTCAAATTTAAATTACATAAATGTATATAAATAAGAGATCATTCATCTATGCAACAAATACAACAATCAATTCATTTGTTGCTCTTCTGTTGTCACAGAAAAGATAGAAATCAATTGGAATGGAAGTGATATCCACATTCTGTAGCTTTGAAGGCAAAATGTTTCAACACAAAAGTTTGATTAAAAGTGTTGATAACTGGTCTATAAAATGTCTCACTTTTGCCCGTTCCTCAGAAGTTAGAATCTATTAATTATATAATCTTACATTAGGCAGTAATGAAACAAAAAGATTTCATTTATAGTATGCCTGTTTCATGTCGAAAATTAGTTTCTTAAGACATATATGTGTCAGCTTTGGAAGCCATATTAACACCAGAAGCTTCCACGCTGCCACATTCCTGTGCCTGGGAAATTGGGAGGGGGGATTTCATGGAGCGTATGTAGTTAGACATAATAGCATTCTTCTTTTCAGTCAAGATTATGGGTTTCCTTGATGAGTGATTTAAGGGAAGTCTCAAGTTGGACAGATGGTGATTGGACCATATGATGAACTGATGGGTACAGGGGGTGGATTTGGCTTTTTGAATTACGGAGGGAAAACCCAGAACTCTCAGATTAAAGGTAAAGTTTTCTCTGAGTCAAGCTCAATTGGTGACTTCATGTATATATCTATGTGATTTTCTGGCCACCTATAAAGAAGTTGTTTGCCATCACCTTTGAGGCTATTTCTCCTGTTCCATATTCTAACCTGCATGCTTGTTATTGCCTCCAATCTGCCACCCATGCTCTAACTAAAGGCAATCCTTCTTAGCCTTTCAAAATCAACCTTGAAAGTTCAACCTAACTAATCCTAACAAGTAATTCTTGACCACAGAGAATTATAATGCCCAGAATTTCTGTTTTGCCAATAAAGAGTCATTTCAAAGGCTGACATTCATGAAATATTGAGTCAATCTTTAGTATCTAGATGCAAGTGTCATTCTAGGAACATTATGATAATTTTCGTACACCCTCTCTAAGCATGATAGAGTCAAAATGAACAAATGCAGATTTTTAGACCATAGGTTTCTTCCAAGAACTGTGTTTATCTCAGGAAGACTATCCATTAAGTGGAATATTGTTAAGACAGGGGAGGAGAAAAGGTTCTGGAATCCATGCAAGCAGCTATGAAGAATGAAGATGGCATACTAGCCAACTACGGTAGCAGAAAATGTATTCTGGGCAATTTCAACACAAAGTACCTAACTAGTTTGCAGCTTAATCCAATATAGTTATAACACATTCCAAGTCAGGTATTTAAGGCTATTTAGATGATTGATTGTGATATCTTCAATGCAATATTTCCGAGTTATTGCTTTTTACTAGCATATATTAGGCACATTTCTTTCATGCTCTCTTACCTCTACTCAAGCCAATTTTGCAAGTTTCTGTTGCACTTCAAGCTACCAATATATTGTGGAAAAGTAGACAAAAAAGGCTAGAATATTGGTGATAATGATGTAACTTTTAAATAAATACATGGTTTATTTAAAATATTTATGCTACTTTCTATTTAAAACACCTCTACAATCTCTAGAATAACATCTGGAAGATTCGTAAGAGCATAATAACATACGTAATTATAGTCATTTTATATATTTTAGAAAAAAACTGAAAGGAGGTGGGGAAACATCTGTTCTTCTTTCAAATTAATAAGACAATTTTTTTGTTTCAAACATGATGTTTTAAGAATACATTTCCCTTGAAAGAGAGAAATAAGAATTGAAGGGCACTGCTATTTGTAGCAATTTCTTTATTTCATTTTTTACTGTAGAATTCTGGAGGTGGAATCAGGTTGGCATTGAATGGCTCCAAAATTACTCCATTTCTTCAGCTGGTCCCAAAATGGCTCCATCTTGCTTATCCAAGTGAACACTGGACATGTATGGCTATGGTAATTCTTTCACAAACACTCCTGCTAATGAGAAATGGAAGTATTTTTTTGGGGGGGGGGATTTATTCATAACCCATATGGATAAACTCCCACAATTCCCAGTTTTCATTACAAGAAGAACTAGTTTCTATGCCTTCTGGAACCAAAGGTACAAAGGAAAACATATAATCATCCTTTGCCTGTTTGTAAGAGGAAAAATATTCCTTTTCAGTGAGTTTAAACAACCAAGGAGCAATCTTATCAGAGATGGACATGCACAGTTCAGGAAAAGACATTTAAAAAATGTTTCCTGAGAAATGATTGCTTTAAAAAAACAGACATCCAAAGGAATTATACATTTATTCCTAAATAAAGAGTACTTTCTCTCTCTCCCTCCATCTTATATTACTATGTATGAGACTCATTTTATGAAGTTAAGTTCTAGGGAACAGATGGAATTACTGCTGCAGTACATACTTCCCTGCTCACTTTTATAGCAAGGTTATAGTTTCCCAGGGTTATGCTTCTGGGGTATTTTAACCTTTGATTCCCAGGCAGAGTCTGAAGAAGAGGCTCAGGATTTCATGGCTGTGAGGATCTTATCCTAGCTAACAAAAACCCAATACTTTGGGAGTCACACATTAGGTGTGTTTTATTTTGGAGCTATACGATATGGACTGAATTTGTTAATGCGTGCTAATGGCCGTCATGGTCAGATCATTAACTGATTGGGACCATCCAAAATGCCTGATAGGCTCACAGGGACCTTGGGGAGCTGCCTGAAACTCTCTCTCTCTTCAAGGCTTTAGTTGTCTCTTGGAACAGGGGTCCCCAACCCCTGGTCCGTGGATTGGCACTGGGCTGCAGCATGCCCGAAACTGGGCCGTGTAAATAAACAAAGCCCCATCTGTAGGATGCAGGCAGCATTCAAAATCATGCCCCCTACAGTCCACAGAAAAACCTGCCTTGGAATGAGAGGATGACCTTGGCCTTCCATCATACTAAGCTTGTGTTCATTGACTTCCTGTTCATTGACTTCAGGGAATTACCTGGTTTTCAGAATTCTTGGAAATAAAGCAACAGAAAAGATGCCTGGAGTATTGCGGGAAACAGAGGAGGAAATACTTAAGTCTATGTTAAGGACCAAATTGCAGCATTAAGAGCAGCAGAGTAAATCTGCAGAGAGTGCTGGCCAGTAGCCCTGTTCAAAGTGACCTGTCCCTGTGATAGAATGATCAGAGGAACATCTGCAGGCTGCTGTGACAATTATTTTAGGCAATTGATAGATGGGGGTCATTTGAATCCAGTTTGAGCTGAACTCCCGTTTCATGTCCTTTTGAGATGAGTTGAAGCACTGTTTGCGGCTATCTGGAAAAAGTCTGAGCCTTTAAGTCTGGAGGATAATCTGGTACTGATGTACCTCCTGGAAATACCTCCTGGAAAGCACTGGTGTACTCAACAGCACTGGATAATTTCCAAACATTCGCCAATCTTTTTAGAGAAGACTATAGAGAAGATGGTCAAGGAGCAGTTGAAGAAGGATATAAAGGAAACAGATTATTAGGATCCCTTTCAGTTGGGTTTCAGTCCTGGGCCTAGTACTGAGGTGGCATTGATTGTACTTGTGGGTGACTTCTGTTTGTATAGTCTGGGATGGCTGTAGCACATTCAACTAAGCATTCTTGATCTCTCAGTGATATTGATATTCTTCTGAATTGTTTCTAGCATTCTGGATTGGCTCAGGAGGCTAGGAATGGGAATGGTTCGTCTTGACCTGCTGGTATCAATATGGCCTCAAAGGCCTGGATGCTGGCCCAGCTGTAAATTATATGAATTGTGTGTCTGGCTCACAATATAGTACCTTTTATTTCATTGTGCTTTATCATTTGATCAGTTTTCTTTGCATTTGGATGTTTTTAATCCTTGTTAGCTACCTAGAGTTGTCTGGCAAGTGGGTGGCTATATAAACAGGATGAATTGAGCAAGCAAACAATTAAAACAACACATATACCGTATCTTTCCTCCAGGATACACTCAGGATGACTAGTTCTTTGATTGAACAACTGACCAAAAGCAACTAGGTCTGACTCAGTATAAGGCAGCCTCCCACACTGCCCTCATAATATACAGAGGGTTATTTTCCTGACAAATCATAAGAAACTGTCAAATATATGAAAAACATGTCCTAAAATATATAGTTGACCTACAGAAACCCGAGAGGAATGGAGTAGAAGAGTTGCATACACTACAGACCTACTGTAAAATACAGCTTTTGTTTCCCATCACCCATGATGAATTCTGGTGGACACGAATGGGTTCGGGGTATATTATTTTTCCCTCCTAAAAAAAAAAACACACCAAAACCTGCCACCCAAACGTAGCGGAGAACACATTATCTGGGATCTTAGGCGTTAAAATAATAAATAAGGCCGAATCGCCTCATTCACTTTAAAGGGTTCATCTTCAACGCACTGATTCGTTTATAACGAAAACGGCGGTCCTTCCATTCTAAAACGAAATCGGGATTCTGAAATGGGATCTTTGTCGTGCCAGGCACAGGCCTGGCTGGGAGGCCGAACCCGACGAGCCGGGCGTACGGCGTGGTAGCTCTCTAGTCCGCCACCCACCCAACCCTCCCAACAACCCCAAGAAGCGTTTCTTGGCGAGGGCCGAGGCAGGAAAACGGCAAGTGTGTGTACGGGCGTGCAGAAGCCTTCTCCGGCCTCGGTGTTTCTTGATCTGAGTCGCTGGCTGGCTGGTTGGCCCGGGAAGGGCCCGAGCTATGGCTTGGCAGCTCCTTTCTTCGCCCGCTGCAGAAGAGAAGAGGGGAGGGGAGGGGAGGGGAGGGGACAGAGCCGGAGTTGTGGGAGGGAGAAGAAAATGAAGAAGAAGGGGTGGGGGGGAATTAAAAAAAAAACATGTTGGGTCATGTGGTTGCATCACGTGAAAGGGGTGTCAGGCCCAGCAGCAGCAGCGGCAGCAGCAGCGGCGGCGGCTGCACGACCTGAGACGGAGACACAGACAGACGCTGGACGCTGGGCTTGTCGGGAGGAGCGACAGGCACGCAGGGAGGGCGGAAGCCTCACCGGACGAGTTCCAGCAGCTACTAGCTGGCGCTCCCTGTCTGGTCTGCCGGAGGGAGGTAAGGCGTTCGTTTCCCCCCCCTCCTCCCCTCCTCGCCAACCTTGATTGCAGCTGCCCACTCCTCTTCGGTGTTGCTGTGTGGGAACTGGGCTCTGTCGCGCTTCTTCCTCCCTTCCTCCCTCTTTCCCCTCCACCCACCCATCCATCTCATCGTCCCCTTCGGAGGATGCAGGATCCGCGCGTCTGGGCTTCCCCTCGCCTTTATGTCAGATGCTCCCGGCTGTTTGCGAAAGATGTAGCGGCTGGTGGTGAGGGGTGGGTTTCCCCCCTTCCCCCCCTTTTGGGGGTGCTTTCTTGCTTTTTAGCGGTCTTTTCCCTCACGAAACCTGGTGATCGCTGCTGGGAGGATTAGGGAACAGATGTGGGGCAATAGAATGGGGGGGGGGTCGCGTGGAGTCCCCAAACGCAGGCTGGCCAGAGGAGTGGGTGGAAGTGCCTGGGGTCCGGGAGTGGGGGTGGCAGGAAGGATGGGCGGTGGGGGGGGGAGGGGGCGCAGGTGGCGCGCAGGGAGTCTGGTAGTTTAGGATTTGTGTTCTTTTATTTGATGGACTGCTGGTTCTCTCTTCCCCTCCCTGTGTGTGTGTGTGTGTGTTGTCTACACACCCTGGTCTGTTCAGTCAGGAGGATATGTGGAAGAAAAGACAGCATCTGGAATGGAGCCCCCTCTTTTGAACGGGGAAGGGGAAAGGAAAAGAAGGGTGGGTGGGTGGGAAGAACAGGTCTGCAGCAGAATCCTCTCTTCCTGAAACACCTTGTCTCCACCTCAGGAAGATTTGAGTCTTAAAAGCTACTTTGGGATTTCAGCTTGGGGATGGACATCCAGTGTGTGTGTGTGTGTGTGTGTGTATGTGTATGTGTATGTGTATGTATGTATGTATGTATATATATATGTATATATATATATACATATATGTCCATGTATACATATACATATACATATACATATACATACACATACACATACACATACACATACACATACACATACACACACACACATACATACATACATACATACATACATACATATATATATATATATATATATATATATATATATATATATATATGGAAGTTAAGATCTTTAAGTGATATAGGGGGAGGGAAGAAAATAAACACACCTTAATCTTTTGTATCTCCTGTATCAGATTTACCCCAAAGCAAGTCATATTTAGGTTTAGGTGTTTTGTTTATGCAGGTAGTCCTCAGCTAACGACCACAATTGAACCACAAATTTTTGTTGTTAAATGAAACATTTGTTAAAGTAGTTTTGTTCCCATTTTACAACCTTCCTTGCTGCAGTTGCTAAGTGAATCACTGCAATTGTTAAGTTGGTAACCCAGTGGTTAAATGAGTCTGGCTTCCCCGTTGACTCTGCTTGTCAGAGGGTTGCAAAAGTTGATTATATGACCTTGGGACACCACAAATATGAACAGTTACCAGGCATCTGAATGTGTGGGATGCTGCAACAGTTACAAGTGTGAAAAGTGGTCATAAGTCACTTTTTTCAGTGCCATTGTAACTTGTACGGTCACTAAACAAACTGTTGTAAGTCCAGGACTATACATATATGTATAACATTTAGATTTAGGCCCTTTTGTGTTGTCATTGCATGCAGAGCATATCAAACTTTTGTTTTCAAACATGAGTTTGAAAGCTTGGACCCAGATATTGCAGAGAAGAGGAGCAAATAAATGCCCAAGAAGGAGCTTTCCTCAGAGGGTACAAAAATGTAGCCCTCAGTTTGTGGCTCTAACCCTTCGTTTCAAGTAGGAAGAAGATGTGATCTTGTACAGACTATTTCCCCTTCATTCTCCCTGTCTTTTGTTGCCTAGTGTATTTGCATTGGGTCTGTTTTGCAGCCAGTAGGAAGGAAAAGGTCATTCAGGGAGAATAGCTGTACTTTTTAGAGGAAAGCCCCGTATTAGCACACTGTATTAAGCACACTGTATTAAGCACAATTTAAGCCACAGGTTTATGGGGTGAAAAATCCAGATCAAAGTTTGATAATATCTCTAGCACCAATCACAATATCACAAGAGATGGGCATCTTTCAAGTTCTACAGAATTTAAGCAATATGATTTTGTTGGGTTAGGAAATTTATTTTTATACTGAAATTTGTTTGTTCCAGAAGTATCCCTGACCCATATAAGTTTACTTAAGTGCTTGTATACGTCAGATTCAATGCTGTTCAGATCCATTAGAATACTCTTTCAAAGATTGATTCATTAAGGTTTTCAATTACAAGAGCTTTATATCTCCTTACTCCCATCACATTTAAATGTACGTGTCTGCCCCAATATAGAATAATGTAAAATAAATAAAATACTTGCAACACTGAAGATGATTACAGCATTTTTTTATTTGTGAAAAACTTTGCTTTCCATCTCAGATTAATTTGAATAAAAAGCACCTTCGCTGAGGACTTGAATGCTAGACAAGAAGTTTAATTGGTGATCTGCTGTTTCTTGGCATTCTGGTATCTTGATTTTGATTTTTTTTAGAATACTTATAACCTTATATAATTAAGTCCATTCGGTTAAAATATTGTTAGTGTGGCTGTTGTGAAAACTGTAACTTTTGATCGTAGTGCTTTATCTGACTTCTTATACCTGATTTTCCTGAAAATATAGGTTCTTAGTCACTTTAAAAAAAAGTGGTCCCATTTCTTTTGATACAGGACTGAAAGCAGAAATAGCTCAAATGATGATGTAATCTTTCCAAATGCTAAGCCATATTTAGTCAAGGTGAACTTTCTTGAAGTTTAATGCATTTTTTTCATGATTAGAGGGCAATGTTTCTTTTAATGATCTGGATGATCTGAAAAACAAAGCCACATCCTGGGAAGCTAAGAAAAAGGAAACATGTTTGAGAAATAAATTCTTAATGCTTAACATTACAGTTGAAATTTGGGCAAGAGCACCTTTTTATTTTTAATGGTTCTTAAGTCAGCCTCATATTCAGGTATGGCTAGTCAGCCTTTTTTTCCTCATGATGCCCATAAGTACCGTTTTTCTCCAACAATACAGCCCCTCTAATAGGAAGACCCAGCATGTTTTCTAGGCATAAAATGAAATAAAGCCCCTCCCCCCAAATTTAGGCCTAGTTTAAAACATGCGAAATTGAGGGGGAAGGTGGGGGGGAACTTGCCATTAGGAGTGCCCCACGGGCAGCTACGCCTCACCATCAGCCGTTCCTAACACCATGATGGAGCACAGAGGGCTCCCTTACCCCTCCCTTACCCGGGTCAGCAGGCAGGCGGCGTTGGCATGGATGTCCAGCAGCGTTTCAGCTGCTTCTCAGGCCTCCGTAGCTTCCACAGTTCCCACTAGTGCTGGCGCCTCTCTCACCAGCGCCATCTCCAACAACAGCATCTGAGTCGCTCCCGCTTTCCCCCCATCCCCGTAACAACAGGAAAAAAAAACATTTTGAGGTACCTGGGAGCACCGCGCGCTACATTTTGGTTTAATCCCGAGTGGCTGGGTGGACCTGAGAAGAGCTGAGCGAGTGTCTCTGCTGCTGCTACCCTTGGTGCTCCAGCCTCAGGCTCTGCAAGTTTGCAAAAGTCCCGGTGCGCAGCCGTTCCTACATTCCAGCGTTTTAGCCGCTTCTCGGGTGGGGGAGCCGCCTCTGTAACTTCCACGGTTCCCGCTGCTGCTGCCGCTGTTATTGGAGACGGCGCTGGCGAGAGAGGGACAGCTGCAGCTCGGCCTGTGCGCTTGGAATGCAGGAACGGGCTGCGCACCTGGACTTTTGCAAACTTGCAGAGCCCAAGGCTAGAGCACCAAGGGTAGCAGCAGCAGAGACGCTCGCTCGGCTCTTCTCACGCCCACCCAGCCCCTCGGAATTAAACCAAAACGCAGCGCGCAGCGCTCCCAGGTACCTCAAAATCTTTTTTTTCCTCTTGTTACGGGGACGGGGGAAAAGCGGGAGCAACTCAGATGCTGTTGTTGGAGACGGTGCTGGTGCGTGTGGGGGGGAATTAATTCACCCCCGAAAAGACGTCCTAGCCGTTTTTTCATGGCTCAAAAAAAATTAAGGCCCAGCCTTATTTTGTGAGAAACACGGTAGGAGAAGAGATATTTGTCTCTTCAGCCACTGGTTCTCTGTAGCTTCCCTCAACTGGGAGGTAACACTAATGTCAAAATTATTAGATCTTGCTAGACCTGTCCTTTATGAATTTATATATTGTCATTTTAAATGCAGCCAAGTTAATGGCCATCATCATATTTTATAGTAATGAATTCCTAAGGTTAATTATATTCTTGTGATGTATATACTTTCCTTATATTATTGGCATTTTATATTTTAACCCTTTCTTAATGACCCCTAGCATGAAGTTTCCCTTTTCCACAATGTGGAATGTACTTTGTCAACATCTCCATTGTGCTATCCACTGCGATCAAAAAACCTTTTTCCAGTTAGTTATAAGCTACTCAGAACCCATCACTGTATATGTACATTTAGAGGGATGAGGGATAAGATTCAGAAGCACTATTAGATCAAAAGGCATCACTATAATTTGTAGTTATTAGATGCCTCATTTTTTAGATTTATAAGCCATTTCATAATTATGATGCATAATTTCTCTGTGCAATAAATTGGCATGCACATAAGTACATATTTGTCCTGTGAGCGTGACATTATTATCTCAATAGTGTCCCTGCGATTTTTCTTAGCATTTTCTATTTAACATTTTCTTTCTTTCTTTTTTAAAAAAGAGAGAAATAGTTCGGTTTAAGATGAGAGATGATAATGGCATAATGACTGATAATGAGCTGAGCATGAGGTCACACTCAGTTCATATCTCACTTCAACCATGAAGTCACTCAATAGTTTTAAATAAATCACTCTTTCACATTCTGAAGACAATTAGTATTGGGATCTAATATAGAACAATTGTTAGGATTTCTGATTTCTGATTGGAGACTCAAGCACATAATGTGCTGTAGAAATATGTTTTGTAAAGATTATCATACCGGTAGTAATATACTATA